ATCTCTTAATGCGCAGTAACTGCATAGTAACTATGTAGCTACGATTAAATTTAATAGTATATAGTACTAAGTCGTTACTAAGCAGTTACTGCATATTAAGATATTTAAGTTTCTGTAAAGGTACATTTGGATATAGTTTAATTTCAAATAATTTTAAACCTTTTAGGTATTGGAAAATTACAAGATTAATTGGCCATATGTTTAATATTTTATTAATTAGACATTTGTTCAATTTCTAATAATTTATTGGACCAATTTAAGAATTGACTGGAGCTGAGAGAATGAATTGAAAGTTTTTCAAGCAAGTCTTAATTTACAGGATTTTAGAAATTTCTGGTTCCCGCAAATTTTAGAATAACTAAAATTGAAACTAAAAATTAGGTTTAATGTTGAAATATTTTTCTGACAATACTTGGTATTGCCCTAGTAATTCTCGCTAATTTTTGGATGTACTTTAAATTTTTATACAAGATTTGAAAATTATTTTTTAGTTGCACGAAGGTTTTTAAAATCTCTTAGCAGCAATTAAATTTTTTTTATGATCGATAAAAAAATTTATAAAGTCTAATCAAATTATCTGGATAAATTGGACATTATCCAAATGTCTAAATATCCAATATTATGACATGGCATCCTTGATTTTAAAGCTTAAATGTCACCTGATTTAAATAAATAAAATCATTTTGCTATTCTTAAATATGACATATGAATCAAAACTCTTTAAGCATATTCTCTTGAAACTATAATTAATAATATAGGTTAATAATTTATAATTAATAAAACAAAATTTTATAAATATATATATATATTTATTTTTTAGTATGCAAATACAGTATAAGCAACAACTAGAGAATAGCTTTAAAGAACAGTAATATTCGGAATAAAAATATGCCTCTGGGTATTAGCGGAAACTCTGTTTCCGTTTGTACGCATACGGATCTTGATATACGTAGTGATCGGGTATTTTTGACAAAAACAGCAATAATTAAAAAATAAATTAACAAATACGTAGAATTTCTATTTAAATATATAATTAATAAGTGTACAAGTTTCACTTTTATAAAGTTTTGCCTGATTTACATATAAATTAGCCAAATATATGATCTCATAATGTGCAACTGGTTTTTTTACACATGATCGAATATCCAAAAATTAATAACAAAGGTTTCACTATAAATAAGATTAATTTTTTTAAAAAGTCGGAAATTCTATATCGATATAACCTTATTTGATATTAAAGGTAATGTTACGTAGGCGTAGAAAGTCTAAGAAACTTCAATTGCTTTTATACGTAACATGGGGACAAAGAAGTTTCAGATTATGCATAGAATAATTTCTACTAAGTACATATTTGTCTAAAAATAGAAATTTGTAGATCATTTATAGAATGAATCGGTAAAATTATTTTCGAAGGGATCGGACTTACAATGCGAAACAGAAATTTCTCCTGGCGAAATTATTTGAAATTTGATCCATCACTTTTTTAAGATTGATAATTTAAGAAATTATTTTCAATACGTATGATAATAATCGTTTAGACTAATATACGATAAAAATCGAGGGCGTAAATTAGTATCACGTATACGTAGATTTAAAAGCATGAAAGACGTTGTGTAGACCAATAAAAAAAATATAGTATACATATAACTTATGTATAAAAAAATTAAAAAAAGAGTATCGTATAGTATAAAGATATGTATAAAAAATTTGAGTCGGTTATATATACTATATATGTACTATATAGTTTGTATACAACTTTATACTGTATAGATATATGGTATTTTATAATTAATAAAATTTTTCAATTTTATCGTATGCGATAATTTAATTAATTAATTGGGGTCAGGTCGAATAAGTAGATCATATTTACATTACGTATTAAAGTTGCATCATTTTTGATCGATGTACTGTACATCTAGCCCTAGATATAATGTAAAAATTATTTAAAAAGTTATTTTTTTTGTAAACTTGATGTAAAGATAATATTAAAGCAATTTTAATGAGCATGAAAGATTTATTTTGAATAAAGACAATATATAAAGATTTTAATGACCTCTATTTTAAATGTAAAGTATAAAAGTTTTTTTTTTTTTAGTGAACTTGAATTATTCTTTAATTGGTGAAAATTAAAGAAAGACTATCGAAATGAGCACGAGTTAGAAGTCAAAAGTAAATACGTACATTTCATTATAAAAACTTCGATATCGTCGCTTTATTAAAAAATATTTCGGTATAATATTAATGCTGAAATACTTGATATATATGCAATACGTAGTCTCGACGACATTAATACCATTAATACCATTAATACCATTAATACCATTAATACCATTAATACGTAATCAAAATCGGTAAATCACTAGCGAAGACTAGTATCCAAAATTGATTCTTTTTTCTAACATATTAAACTAGTCGTTTTGTGTATAAATTGCTGGAGAAAAATAAAATCTGTGCTTTACACTTATGAGTATGGTTCTTTTTATACTTATAAGTATGATAAGTCTTATTATTAGTGCGAGTGTAAAATATAAAGTTTTTTCTACGCTAACTATTTTTATTTTTTATGCTAAACTTTATATATTACTCTAAATCGAGGATGTATACACAAGAGTTTATATGTAGAGTTATTATTAGATTAAAATCGGAGCTAGGCAGTGTATTCAGTATACGTACTGTATATTAAATTATAGTTAATAAGTATTTCGATATAATTATTTTATAATTAAACTCCATAAAAAAACGGGACTTTATTACAAAGTATATATTATAAAAAAAGCAAACCGTTAAATTAAGTATCCAGAGAAAATTTAGCTCATTACACGCTGAGCAGGCATAAAATGAAAACTTTTTAAAAAAAAAAGAGTACGAACGTATGTAAGTACGTACAAAATATTGGAATATGTATACAAATTATAAAATACAAAATCCAAAGTCTATAAAAATTTTTAATTGTCTATATGAAAGAATGCCAAAAAATGCAAATGAATGTTGAATATGTATGAATTGAATGAATGAATTTACAAAAAATGAGATGATTAAATAAATATACAGATGAATTTTTTTTTTTTTTTTTTTTTGTATAATTATTAGGTATATAGGTATAAAGATGATTTCATAAAAATATATTTGTATTTTTATCGTATCACCGGATATCATCTCTTGATGGATTGAAAGAGGTAAAGTTTATCGGATCTCTTTTTTCTAAGACATTTTCTTCTGATACGACCGTCGAGTCAGTTGAGTCAGGAGTATCTGTTGGTATGTCATTTACTTGAGAACGCTTAAAGATTTTAGATGTTTCTAATAATTGGGCGGATGGTGTGATTGGCAATGCAGTGATATAGATTGTAGCTAAATTTCAAGAAAATAGTATTATAATATTAATATGGTAATCGGATTCAAATAAGGAAAAATCAAGTTTTTTTTTTTTATTAATTTTTATCATTATTATTATTATTACTTACTGTAGGTGAATAAGAGGAATATTATGAATAATTTTTTCATTTTGAATAATATCGTGAAAGGGAAAAAGAATGATTTTTTTTAAGGATGGTAAGTCAAAGTGGGAAAATTCGTAAATTCAAAAAAAAAAAAAAGCAGGTGTCTCTTTAAACTGAAAATGTGAAATGTGAAATGTGAATGTAAATGTGTAGAGAATCTGGCTTATTGTAAGCTACCAGAGCCAACTTATTAAAATTTTTAATTGAAAAAAGTTTAAAGAGTTTATTGATAGTTTCTGTTTTTAAAATATTAACAAAAACAACCAAATAAACACCTGAATTTTTTTCTTTTTTAAATAAATATGATAAATTATTCAAAAGAAAAATGAAGAACTACGAGAAAACAATGGCACTATATATACATTCGTCAACTTCTCCTAATGCATGATCTAATCTGGTAAATATGCAGTGTTCAGAACGTGTATTTAGTACGAGAAGCATTTTTTTTTATTTTGGCGTTAAACCGTAAGCACATACCCTTTGTTTAAACACTTTGTTACATGTTGGAATGAATGAAAGAATCCTTGTGAAAGTGATAATTAAATAGTAATTTAGTTATTACTCCATTTGTATGTATGACAGAAAACTGACAGACATTGAATTTAGAAAACAAAGACTCCTTGTTAATGCATTAGTTTAAATAATGGGTGAATTTTTGTTGGACCGTAAATTTTGATCACATACTTGCGTACCTGAACTCGCAGTTTTTTTTTTTAGTCATCATCAAATCAAACTATATTTAATCATGTAAATTACTAATTGTAATTGTACTGTACCTAACCATGGCGTTAAATTTATCAAATTTTATAGGTAACCAAACGAAGTTAAATTAATAACAAATGGAATTTTATATGTTTATATCTAGACTTTGTACTTTTAAGATTAATAATTTTTTTTTAACAAGTTCACTAAAGGCAAAAAGATAACGATAATACATAAAGTAAGATTTAAAAAAATTATCAAATCGATGAATGACTTTATTAAATAGTGCATAAGATTTGCAATAAGTCTATGTAGCATCAAGCCTAGATACAAATGCCGAAAATTCGAATTTTTTTGTTATACGTATGAATAAAATTGTGTGTAAAACTTTTAAACTGTAACTTTTATATTTGTTTTTAAATCAGTTACTTTGATTAACAACCAGAAAAATTAATTAGTCTAACAGCATCGTAAGTTTCGATATTTTAGATAATTTGCACCATATTAACTAACATATACGAACTAACATATACGAACTAACATATACGAACTAACATATACGAACTAACATATACGAACTAAC